CAATTACTACAATCTGAACGCTTAACACCTTTTAATCCACACTTAAAACACACTAACTCTTTCGAATTGCATTGATTGGTGAAATGAGTGTTTAATCCACACCTAAAGCATTTCCTATCCAATTGCCTCGAAGAGCCAGCTTCATTCAGCACAGAGACTTGTTTACAGTGAGATCGCGGCGTTTGTTTATTTAAGTCCGCTGTAATTTTAAAGTTATTCAAGTTAGGTTCACTAAATTGTTCCGCACGCGACCGCGCAATTTCTAACTGTTTGCAATAAAGTTTAAGTTTGTCTACAGAGGTTATATCATGTAAAGCTAAATCTTTCATGTACTCTGGTCTAATGTTATGCATCAAGATTTCGAGTTGTTGTCTACTCGACAACGGCTGAGTGAGTCGCGAGAACATTCCCTGCATAATGGAAAGATAGACTACTATCGTTTCGTGTCTGGCCTGTGTACGCTGCCTTATTTCATTTAATAGTTTATAGTCTAAATCGGGAATATCAAAATCGTCCCTTAGGCATTTCAATAATTGTGAATATGAGTGGATATTATCCTTATTACTTCTAAACCAACATAAAGCAGAGTTTTCTAAAAGATCAGAAAAAGCTGAAAGTATGCGAGCTTCAGTAATGTTGCGAGCCTCTTTAAGTTCCTCAAGACGTTCAATAAATACATAATACACGAACACACGTGGTTCCGTCAAATTTTAAGTTAAATGTATTTAGGTTCAAGGGTTTATCTTTCACATAGATCACGTTACTTTCCACTTTCTGGTTAAACGGCTGTGCCTGGGTTTCCTTGTACTCACCATCCGTGTCGCTATCTTCACCGTCTATGACACTCAAAATGCGAATCAAACGACTACGAAGATCTGACAAATGCGAACTACTTTCAGAGATACGAGCTAGTCTATCCATCAAATAATTTGCACGACGAGACAGTTTAAGAGTCAAATTGCGATCATCTACTTTACCCGCCTGCAGCTGGGATTCCAGAAGTTCGACCTTTGGGGTGCAGGTCTCTAGTTCAGAGGCTATACTGGGTGACTGGAGTGGTTCACACTTTATGCTTCCACGGCGTGCGAGTTTGTACACCTGGCGGATCTGCTTCCTCACTGCATCGGTGGTTACATTTTCATCTGTGGAAATACCAATAATGGCGAGTTCATATCTGATTTCATCTTTATGTAATGAGTCTATATACTTGTGGATCGACATTTTGTTAAAATGTACTGACGGTTACAAGAAAGTCTTAAATCGGTTGATATTAAAAGTATCTACTTAAAATAGCACAAATATTTTTATTATGTTAAGTTTTAATTCATTTAAGTACATATAAATCACATTCAAGTTAAACTTTCTTTGTTCTCAAGCTTACTTAAATCTACCTACATCAGAAAAAAAAATGTTAACATTAAATTTCACTAAGTTTTCATATTAAATGAGTTTTTAACAGCTTAAATAGTTACAATTAAGGTTAATTCATCTACTAACATCCAGCAACTTAAGGTTCAACGTTGGGTAGCCACTTTATAACACTTTTTAGGGCGTTACTCACCGGCTACGGTTGTCGGAGAGTTAAGGGACTCGAGGATCAAAATAAAAGTATCCCAGGGCGCCTGTTGTTGGATGATTAGTAAATGAAAATGCTAAGTTACATATACAGACAAAAAGTAGTTTATTTCCTTCTACGGTTCACATGTATAGCTCCAAATATCAAGTTTTCACTTTAAAATACCCTACGAATTGAGGTTTTGACTAACCTGGTGGATTACACAATATTACACTGTTTATGGTCAATCCCGCGAAGCAGTGAGGCAACAGATATCCTCCAGGTGTACGCCGGTCGCGGTCTCCTGGCCGCCCAGTCCCAATATAGCCACCCGTTGAAGCTGCCTCGCCTCGTTCACATTGTTGAACTTGATAATGGACCATACTCAAAGTACGGACTAAGGACTAAGGACTAAGGACTAAGGACCCAATTTATGGGATGATGTGTTTCAACACATTAAACTGCCCGTAGACATTGTGTTTAAGGGGCCGTACGCCCAAGTAGTCGTCACTTTAAATTCATGTTCTGGCGTTTCGATTCAAAAATTATATTTGTGCGTGTCCGATCATTACAACGGCTCGCTCCAAAAAAAACTAGGCCTCCCTTGGGCTACACGCCACCGTCGATCCGTGGTAGGATTTCGAACTAACACGAAAGGTCAATTGCATGCAATTAGCTAGCTCGATTCGTCAATATACGTTTCTAGTTACTTCGGACTAATGACGTTAGATGGCGCTCTGAAGTCTGTTCATCGCATGTAATAACGTAAATATGCTAAAATAATGTACTTACACGAAAATTTTCGTGTTAGAATACTCAGTCTCTTGCTTTCTTGGAAGTCTCACCCTTAGGCGGGAGGATGTTCTGAAAACTCTGAAAGGACTAGATAGGACTAAGGGAGCAGGCCCAGATGGAATACCCTCTTTGTTTGTAGTCCAATGCTGTGAATCTCTCTCCTTTCCTCTAACAATAATATATAATGAGTTTTTAATGAATTGCGTATTTCTCTCGATCTGGAAGGAGGCGAGAATTGTTCCAGTTTTTAAATCGGGAGATTCAGCATCCATGAAGAACTATAGGGCCATTTCGATACTCTCAGTCTTTGGGAAGGCATTTGAATCGTTGGTTTGCCCGGTCTTGTCCTATCACATAAAGCATTTAATTTCTCCTCGCCAATCAGGTTTTTTAGCATCTCGCTCAACGGTAACTAATTTGATCCCGTTTGTGGATTTTGTTTCTAACTCCCTTGATTCCCGTATTTCTGTAGACACCATATAAACCGACTTTAGTAAGGATTTCGATTCAGTTGATCACAAAATTTTACTGGGTAAACTTTCTCGTTTGGGTGTGTACGGATGCCTTCTGGAATGGTTTGAATCGTATCTTTATCAACGCAAGTCGCACGTTGTGGTTAATGGTTACTCATCGCACTCCTTTCAGCCAAATCCCGGCATTCCGCAAGGTTCGCATATGGGTCCAATCCTCTTTAATATATTTATTAATGATATCGTGGGTATCTTTGATCATGCTGCTTGTTTCCTTTACGTTGATGACATGAAACTGTCTATGCAGATCAGAGGTATTCATTGTTATTACAGGAGGATTTAGATCGACTCGCTGGATGTTGTAGGGAGAACAGGTTATATTTAAATACTGAAAAATGTAAATTTATTAGATTTTCGAGATGCAAAACGAACTTGTCGCCATCCTTCAATATTGCCGGTCAAAAATTGCAAGAGGTGGACTCTATTCGCGATTTGGGCGTCATTGTGGATAAAAAACTACGCTTTCACAAACACATTGACCAAGTCGTAACAAAAGGTTTCCAGATGCTAGGGTTTGTGCTGCGGAATGCAAAGGAATTCAAAAAGCCCCCAACAAAAAGTCTCCTGAATTTGGCATTGGTTCGTTCGGGTTTGGAATATTGTAGTCAGGTTTGGACCCCACATTATGAGGTCCATATTAAGCGAATCGAGCGAATACAGAAGTGATTTCTCTGGCACCTATCCTACCAATCTAACAAAGCCAAACTGCTGCCCTCATATAAGGAACGTCTTGCCTATTTTAAAATGACTAGCCTACAAGGGCGAAGATTGTTTTTGGATCAATTACTTTTTTATAAGATTATCAATGGTCTCATTGACTGCCATGCTTTATTGCGATCTGTCAATTTTAATATCCCATACAAGTTGCCGCGTCGCGTACGATACGTTCCATTTTCACCAAAAGGTGCCAAAAGTAGCTTAGGTCACCACGCTACCATGAATCGCTTACAGAGACAGTACAACGTAATATCTAAGTCTTACAACATTGACATCTTTTCTGACAAGCCGTTGAAATTTAGACGCAAGCTCGGTCAGTTTCTCGAGTCAATGGTGTCTGTTTGATTCAAGTATCTATATCTATTGTTTGATTTTTTTTTAACATATAAAAATAATGATTGTTAAATGATGATTAAAATGTTTAAGTTTTCATTTGCTTAGTATTAACTAACCTATTTAAGTTTTATTTGCATAGTCCACATTTGCATGCCGTGGCAGCCAATAATTAAGATGACGCTTAGCTTTAGTTTTATATTCATGTTACCTTAATATCCATGTATTAGTGCTCGTCTTGTTGGTTGTCCTTTTAAATAAAAAAAAAATATATATATATTCGAACGTTGGCATGGTAAACACGTTTTTGACCATTCCCGACAGTTTTTTCTAACTTTCGGCCACACGAAACATTCTGCCACTAACATGGCGGTTGCGTTAACGCCTGGATGACTGAGTGAATGTAAAGTATTAAAAACTTGTTTTTGGAAAAACTTGGTTACAAATGGCCGGGAAGTCGGTGTACTGACGTCGCAGTACAATGGGGTTCGACTCCCGTGTATAGTAAGTTTATCCAGGCGTAGTGACGAGCCTTCTTTTATGAGCTTTTCAAGCTCAGGGTCAGAAGCTTGGCTTTTAGCTAATGCGAAAGTGTATCGGCAGCAACGTTGTCCTTACCGGAAATATGTCTGATATCAGTTGTAAACTGGGCTATATAATCTAAGTGCCTATACTGCCTAGGCGAACAGTTGGATTTCCTTGCATGAAATGCGAAACTGATTGGCTTGTGGTCAGTATATACTGTGCTAATCCTACCCTAATCCTTGCAATTTATGAGGCTGTAATAGCCTCATAAATTGCTAGGAGCTCCCTGTCGTAAGGGGAATATTTTGTCTGAGAAGTGTTCAGCTTTCGGGAGAAAAATGCTAGCGGCTACCACACATCTTCTTTTAACTGCTGTAGGATAGCTCCAATTGCTTTATCCGAAGCATCAGTGACTAAAGCCAATTTCGCTTGGCAATATGGATGTGCTAATAACGCAGCCTCAGAAAGGCTTTCTTTGCATGTTTTAAATGCATTTAAAGACTCACCAGATAATGTAATAGGCTGGTTATTCTTTATTACGCCTGTCAACAAGGCGTTAAGCGGTGCTTGTATTTCTGCAGCACGTGGTAAAAATCGCCTATAAAAATTGACCATGCCCAATGTCGAAGTTGACGAACATTGGTGTGCAATGGGAAGTTTTTTATGGCTTCAACTTTAGTGTCTAGTGGTTTGGTGCCTGATGCCGAGATGTGATGTCCCAAAAAGGATACTTCTCGAGCACCAAAAACACACTTAGACGTATTAATTAGCATACCATATTCTTTTAGTTTTTGAAAAATTGCACGCAAATGCTGTTCATGTTGTGCCTCGTTCTTTGAAAAAATTAAAAAATCATCCAAATAACAATAGCAGAAGTCGAGTTCCCTTGTCATTTCATCCACAAACCTCTGGAACGTTTGTGCAGCATTCCGTAAACCGTAATCCATGAATGGGAACTCAAAGAGTCCAAAAGACGTTGTTATTGCAGTTTTTGGTACATCTTCAGGACTAACTGGTATTTGGTTGTAAGCCTTGACTAAGTACAATGTACTAAAAATTTTGCAACCAGATATACTATGTGCAAAGTCCTGAATGTGCCTGATCGGATATCTGTCGGGCACTGTTCGAGCGTTTAGCATTCTGTAGTATCCGCAAGGACGCCAACCATTTTCTTTTTTTGTAACTAAATGGAGTGGCGACGACCAAGAACTTTCTATCCCATTATCTAGCATGGATTGGAACTCTTGTTGGGCTATTTTGAGTTTATCTGGAGCGAGGCGACGAGGTGAACAAGAAACTGGAGGTCCTGTTGTCGTACGTATATGGTGAACTGTGTTATGCTGTATAGTGCGGTGTATACGAGCTGGTCGGGTAATTTCCAAAAAATTCTGTTAAAATTTGGTCGTATTTTGTGTTACCAGTTAAAACCTTAATTGATGAAATATTGGTTGATTTTACTTGTGAGGCAGTGGCTACTATAGATGTTGTACTATCAGTAATACGCTTGTTACGACAATCTACAAATATCATATTTAAAATCTACAAATATATATTTAAAAAATCTACACCAATAATGGGTTTTGTTACATTTGCAACTACAAAACGCCACTTGAATATTCTACGTAAGCCAAAATCTAAGTTTAAACGTACATAACCATAAGTGTCTATATGAGAACCGTTGGCTGCACTTAGCTGGTATGTAGTCCGAGCACGACGTTCACGTAGGAACTACCGAGGGAAGACGCAGAGGTCGCTTCCTGTATCGGCCAGGACGACTGAGTCTTCGATATGCGGTCGGTTACGAATAGACGACCAGTTGTGACCACCCGACGTGATATGAACACGCAATCAATAAACCTTCGAAAACTACACTTTCAAACTTTCATCATCTTCAAGTACCCCATTGATTCGCTCCTGAGCAGATATTGTCTGCAGTCTTCACATTCTGCAAGCCATCTAGCTTTACAAAAGTTCATCGCAGCACTGGAATAATAATGCTTCCTGTTCCTTCAAGCTACTCTCTGCGCTACAGTGTTCGGCACGGCTCTGAGCCTTACTGCTCGCCTCTGCTTCACGGCACTCTCGCAGATTACTTGCCTTCTTCTCGACTCACCGCAGATTACAAGGCAATCCCTGGCACTTGCTCCGGGTCATCGTTCTCTGCGGCATCACTTGCAAGTGCGTAGTATGGCATGTATTACACACTGGCATATCGTTCGCACCGGTGTCACTTGCACACAGCATGCATTCCCCACCGGCATTAAGGACGCACCGGCAATCGGACTGCAATATCGACCTCCGGTCTGAGTAGGGGGGTGATGTGGCGGCGCTGTCGTCGCGCCACAAGCGAAAACACATCGAAGCCTAAATCGCGTTAACAAAGTTCCGAAATTAAAAACAGTATAATATATAGAATAGCTCCGAACTATCACTCGGAGCGTTGGCCACTCCCAGGGCAGAACACCTTACCCGGCGGTGGATCTCCCCTTTACCTTCCACCCGCCACATCAGCATCAGCAACTGCTGTATAATTAAAGTATTCTAGTCCTGAACGATTTGGTTGTTTTATACAACGTTTCCCATCAATGGCTATATATGGCCCTATACAATTCGGAAAATGCCATTTAATATAATAATCATCCGCTATTTGTTTTAATTGTTACAAATGAACAATTAAAACAAATAGCGGGCTGGGGCATGTGCATTTGAACCAACTGCTTCCAAATTGCTTCACATGTATTTTGTACTATTTTTGCGACCGTGCTGGCTCCTATTTGGACGGAAAAGGCCACAGATTGAAATGACATTCCAGTTGATTGGCATTCCACCTGCAAATAAATAAAAAGTTAATTAAGCACATAAAGGGGGTCATTGTAGAAGCGTGCTCGTCGCGACCCCTGCCAGCCCTTTTCAGGGCTGCAATTCTACTCAGCTGCGCACCCATGTCAACGAGGGTTAGGGCGTCCCCCCAAGGCGACGCACACCAGCTCGTCCCCGTTGGTGTGGAATGCAGCGCGCAAAGCGGCGATGGGGACCGCCACCCGTCACGCACAGCCCGACACGGCGGAAGGTGGAGGACGGAGTGCAGAGTTGGCACGTGGAATGTTAGAGGAGGCATGAGAGATAAGACGAATGAGTTGATCGAAATAATGAAAGAAAGAGAATTAGATGTAGTGTGTATGTCGGAGACCAAACGGAAGGGCAGTGGTACTGAAGAGCTCCCTGGCGGGGCGTTTGCTCTATGGTCCGGAGTCCCGGAGAGCGAGAACGCCTGCCAGGGAGTGGGGGTGCTGCTGTCTTCTCGGTTGGTCGATGTTATGACTGAATATAAGTTTGTGAACTCAAGACTTCTCTGGGTTCGCTTTAAATTGGGACTGACGAAGTTATTCCTTTTGGCTGTTTATGCGCCGGTGGCTTCGTCGTCCAGGGCTGAGCTGGAGGAGTTTTGGGAGAATGTAAGAGAAGTTCTAGATTTGGCTAGGGGAAACGAAAGGATTGTTGTATGTGGTGATTTGAATGGATGGGTTGGTACCGCTCGACCAGGGTACGAGTCGGTACTTGGAAAGTTTGGCGATAAAAGGGTTAATGATGCTGGCAAGTGTAATAAAAGATGTTAATAATCATAATTAATCCTATTATTAATATATTATTGTTACACCGTAATTGAATATTGTAAGTAGTTAATATATTCCACTACAATTGAAATGTCAATATATGTAACTTAGAAGTATTGAAACTACTAAAATACCCTTCCGCCTGGCAGTGGAAGGGAAACTATAAAACGGAATGACGGGCGTGTCCGAGGATACAATAGAATTTGTGCTGAAATAGTCGTGTCGGAGTGAACTAGTGTAAATTGAAAGTTTGTTTATAAAGTTGATTAATTCATTGTTGAAAAATAAAAGAGAATAAGTGTAAACTGTGTTTATTTAACATGAAATATAGAGTGTTAACCGTGAACTGAAGTTTCTTTTTACATCATATAGAGTAATGACTGTGTACTGAAGTTTGTTTTTACATCTCAGAAGTGGGATACCGTCCATAAAAGTGAGTAAGGATGTTTCTTTTACACATATTTATGAAGATACCAGAATATTTGTTTACCCAGTTTTTTTACTGTATGTTTTTTTTTCCTTTGAATTTCGTTTACAACTTTATTTGGATTTTAAGTTTTTTTTAAAACTCTTGTTTTGCTTAACCTTAATTTAAAGTAATGTAGTATTTACAGTATGATCAATACACTAAACGAGATTCGTTGGGTTCTTTTCTTCGGGATCTTCTCTGAATACCCTTAGTATATACATTATTACCCTCTCAGTTAACTATTTAAGATATAATTTAATAAAGGTTAAGTGGGCATAGCTGCTAATACATTATATGCTTTAGTGAGAAATCAACAAACTTTGCTTATAGTTTTATGAATAGTAAGAAAGGTATAAGCTTATGGTAAACATATAAATGTCATATTAACACGTTCATTGTCAATTCTTACACTTGGATGTGCAAGTTTCAGATGCCACGTGACAAACGACTAAAGTCGCGACGGTCAAAGAAAAGGCGAGATGAACGACGAGACTTTAGCCCAACCCAGTCGCATCACTCGCGGTCTAGATCACGACACCGAGCGCGGTCCAGTTCTTCGCATCGTGCGCGGTCAGGGTCATTGTACCGTGCCCGGTCTAAGTCTCTGCTCCGCGTGCGGTCGAAATCGCCGAGACGTGCGCGATCGAGGTCAGCATCACGGGTGGTTTCCCGGACGCCCCGAGTAAGCAGAACCAGGAGGGACTCAAGTAAGCAGAGTTTTAACTTTAATGTTACTGGTGACCATAGTCATTCTCGTAATGCAGAACGCGAACATTTGATTGAACTCAATGATGGTCAGCCTAACAGGAACCACATGAACGCTAGCTTATTTGAGAAAATGTTAGATATAATGAAAGATTACAAGAAAAATTCCGATAATAGTGATAGATTTCCTGCTCTTAACGTTATACCAGATTTTGATCCCATGACAAGAGAACAGACGGTCGATACTTGGATCCAGAAAGTAGAAGAGTGCGCCCAAATATATAATTGGAACGATAAGCAAACAATCCATTATGCCTTGCCAAAACTTTGCGGAGTTGCAAAAACGTGGTACCAAGGGTTGCCGTCGGTCTTCTTTTCATGGAGAGAATGGAAAGAAAAACTGCTAAACTCGTTTCCATCTAGAGAAAATTATGCAGAGCTACTAACGGAGATGCTTAGTAAAAAATCAAAATTTGGTGAATCTTTGGAATTATATTACTATTCAAAACTTAACCTATTAAACAGATGTTCCATTTTTGGTAAAAATGCAGTAGACTGCATAATTTATGGAATCGAGGATCGTGGTATTAGATTAAGCATACAAGCAGCCCAATTTAATGAGCCAGAACAGCTTTTAAAATACTTTAAAACTATAAGAGTTGGTCAAAATAAAGAGCTAGATGTTAATAAAAATAAAGAGAAAAGGTATGTCGCCTCCAATACTACAAGCTCTTCAGATACGGGAAAAACAAGCAAACCTGACCATAACGTAACTTGTTACAATTGCAATGAGACGGGTCATACATTTTACAGGTGCCCTAAGCCGACTATTAAATGTAAAAACTGTAGGTGGAGAGGCCACACTGCAGAAAACTGTCCCAAAAATATTAGCCAAACATCTAAACATATAGATAAACCGGGAACCAGTGTCAAAACAGTAATGGAAGTTAATATAACTGAAAATAGCAATGCGAAGTACCGAGTTCCAGTAAAGGTCAACGGTAATGTCCTTCTTGCTCATATCGATTTAGGAAGTGACTGCACTTTAATTAGATTGTCAGATGCAGAGAAATCATGTGTTAAATGGCAGGCTGTTGATTCTCCCGTTCTGAAAGGATTAGGAAATATTCCTTATCGACCATTAGGAGTAACGTACGTAACTATAGATATTCAAGGTGTAGTTGAAGAAAATGTAAAAGCATTAATAGTAAACGACTACATGATAAGCCATCCTATACTCATTGGACACACGTATACTGAGCGCCCTACAATAGAAATTATTAAAACCCCTTCAGATTTAATTATAAAGCGAAGTAACTTCCAAATTGAAAATGTTAAGATACCTCTTGTAGTTTCTGAAAAGGTAGTCTTAAAACGTGATGGCCTTTCTATAATTTGTGCTAAATCTGAAAAGGATATTTCTGGTTCTATTTACGTTCATGGG